TCCCCCCCCCCCCAAGTACAGTCAGGAAGGTGGAAGTTGAAGGATTTGGGAAAAGGCCCTGTCGTATGTGTTTCCTTGAACAAAAAGGGTAGTAGGACTTCGAAGAGAGGTTTGCTGGATGGATCCGTGGCAGAATGACTAAATGCTTTATGGGAAGGAGGGAGGCACCTTCCCCCGGCCACGAGCGTGAGCAGCATGCAGGGGAGGGGAGGAGGCTTCTGAGAGGTGTAGGAGATGTCAGGTGTGGACAGCGGGATGAAGGGTTGGCAGACAGGGGCAGGACGGGGAGGGCTGGCAGGTGTTGGGAACGGAGCACACAGCAGTTGGGAGAGGGGACATGTGAGGTGCTAAGGGGCTGTGACCACCGCCTTCCCAGCTGTGCTCGTGAGGAGACTGGCCCCCTCCCCCGGGCTGGTCCTAGCTCAGCTTCTGGGGTCCCGGGGATGCCATCCTGGGGGCCAGGAATTGGGCACAATGACCCACCCTTCTTGGGAGCCTCCCCCAGAGCCCGGCACGGTGCTCAGGGCAGAAATGCCCAGCTCTGGCTTCCTACCTGGATGGTGGTCATCCCGACCTCCCGCCCGACCAGGACCCTGCTGTCCTGCAGTGTGGCCACGTGAGGTTCCTCCAGATTCATGAAGTCCGCGACCAGGTGGGTGATGTCCACCTGCCAGTCGGGGCCGAGCAGGTGGCTGGGCTGGCCCCACGGGCCGGCGCCCTCGGCCACGAACTGGGTGAGGACCCGCACCGTGGCATGCTGGTACTTCAGGGCACAGCCCCGGCCCCGCCGCTCCTCGTCGTCTTCATCCTCGCTGTCCCGCGTGGGCCTTGGGGGAACAAGAAGCTCTCAGGTCCCAGGAATGGATTCAGACGCTCTGGAGGCACAGGCCAGACAGGCAGGTGCCCGCCCCAGCCTCCATGGGACAACATCCCAGGCGGGGGCCTCAGGACCCCACGGGAGTGCTGTTTCCATCACAGGCAGCACAGAGGGTCGGACATCCCTCTCCTGAAGGCATTTATTGACAAACGGCTTACGGGCTAATATTTACGAAGTCTACGCTATCCAGTAAATGAGTAGCTGGTAGCTATGTGTGCCCACTTACCTTTCAATTTAAATGAATAATGAGATGAATCAAAAATGTAAATTTCTTAGGCACACTAGCTATATATACCAAGCGCTCCCTAACCACATGTGCTAGCGGCCGCCATATTGGATAGCATGGTTCTAGAACATTCCGCCACGGCAGCAGGTTCTATTGGGCAGAGCTGTATTACTCTCTTGAGATGTGACCTTCTAGGCTCCACACGTATGGACTCTTAATCTCATAACACGGGTGTTATTATTCTTGTGTTCTGGGGAGGGAGGTTAGGGACCCTGCCCAAGCTCACAGAGCTAGAAAGTGGCGGCTAGGCTCAGGTCTGCCCTCCCCAGGGGCACGGGGCACGCTCATTCTCTAGGTCACTCATGACCACTAAACAGTCTGAAGGATTGCCCGGATTCACCACCGCCCTCTGCAGTTGGGGAAGATTCTTTCAAGTTCTCCCTGCAGAGAGGGATGTTGCCTCTTACGGGCCCAAGGGGCTCGTGCTGAGTTTACGTTCGCTCAAGCACTCATTGCCCCTTAACATGAGGACCAGGTGCCTGGAAGATTCTGGAAAACAGCCCTGAGCATTCAGGATGGGTGACCCCAGCTCCTACGTATGACAATCCAGAGTCACATAGAACAAAGAGCCTTTTTTTTTTTTTTTTTA